TATGATATGCTTCCTGGTCAGCCCATTGCTGGCAGCTTCCTCATTTGGGACTCCTAACTCAAACATCTCTGGCCCACCTGACCCCCATGGCCTAGGGGTGGACACCAGGGCCTAGACCTCCTGTCTGTTACATCTTGTCATGACTGGCAGCTTGTGCTGACCTGAACTTGCTTTCTCCCTTCACTGGCTCTGCATACTGTGTCCTCCGCCGTGTCACTGACCAGAATTGCCACATGGGCTAGGGCCAACCACACAGCAGCCATGGGACTTCCCTGGTGCCCGCACTCTGCTGCTCAGAGACGTCTTCTTGCTGGCCCACTCATCATCAAGCTCCCGGTGGGGACTGGGCTCAGAGAGACCATGGCTTGCAGCAGCAGAGAGCCCTGGCAGAATGCTCACAGGACTCACGAGGCAAGGCTCTGGCACAGTCCCTGACACGCGATGGTGGCTGGCACTGGCTTGAGACTCTGCCATCCCCTCCTTTTTCCCCCCTGGCTGACTGTATCCAGATCCACCTCACCCCGAAGGCCTGGCTACAGCTCTCTTAATGAACGCTGCTCAAATGCCTCATCCTTCATCCGGTCACAGGTTTGCCCATTGTCTAACTTGTCTGCCCACCTGGACAGATACATGGCAGGTGACAGTGTATAACCAAGTCACTCCCCAAACCCCTGGTCCTATGCCTGGCTCTGAGTCCCTGATGTGCCTCAATTTTCCTGCTCCCTGAGCAGTCAGGCAAGGAGATGGGTACCGATTGATTAATTTCAATATATTATCTGCTCCTTGATCCAGGAACACCCTGCCTAGCCCTGTAGCCACATCTGAGCTCTCAGTGCTCCCCAGCCCCCAGGGACTGATCATTCCTGGGTTCTGGGGGAGGAAGGGGTCTATCCCAGGTTGGCCTGTTTCAACCTTCAGCCTGAGATATCCCTCAGGTTGTTGAAGCTGAAGCCAGAGTCAGTGTTCTAAGCTGCATTAAGCAGGAAAGGGCAAGTCTCCATGGCCTGAGAGAGACTCACACATCCTTATGGGTGTCCCATCAGCTGAGGCCAGTGGGACCTGCACTGGTCCCTGAGCCCATTTCCTGGCCAACACCTAGAGATAAACTCAGCAGCCATATTTGGTTCTCACAGTACTCCCACCACATATGCTAAGAGAAGAACTGCATCCTAGACCTGGGGCACCTGTGTGGTCACTGCATGACAAGGTGACCCCCTCACCCTCTGTGAACTAAATGTAAGGAGAAGAGACAGCAACAGGAGTTGAGGGGCATGACCCAGGTCAGGGGGACACCAGTCCCTCCCTTCCCACAGCTCTTCCCATCTGTTCTTTACCCTTCTCTCACTGGCTTGCAAGCTTCTTCCCAACACCTTTATCCTTCCCTTTCAATACCAACCACCCGATGCCCAGGTCAGCTAAGTGGGGACAAGCAGAGAAGGTACCCTTCCTCCAATGCTGGCTAGGACCCCTCCCCCTCCCCGGGTATCTGTTCTCTTCCTACCTCTTTGCTCTTTCTTCTTTCTTTTCTCCTGTCCTACCTGGTAGGACACATTCTCTCAGGGGACTTTCAAAGCCCCCAGGAGCATCCAATGTGTTACTTCGCTGGCACCGGCATCTCCAGGTCAGGCCCTCCATCTTCCTGAAGTGCCATTACCAGCTGGCCCCTGCCCTGGATAGATAGTATCGGACCCTCATAGCCACATTCCCGCTCCTTGGGACAACAACCTGCACAGCCAGATCTACGGGCTGAGGGCCAGGTCTGGTCTCACTTGGTACCAGAGCCTAAGAACCTTTCTCTGCCCATAGAACCACCTAACAGGTTCTAACCCCGGCTACTACCTGAAGCGCCTATCCGACCTGCAGCCACTTGCCCACCTCAGCCCCTGTGCCCACCTGAAGCCCTTTGCCCTCCTTCAGCCCTTGTGCCCACCTGTGCTCTGGAGACCTTGGTGGTCCATTCTGGCATTGTTCTCTGGAGAGATGCTCTGGGCCTGTAGCAGTGTATTTCGGGGCTGTACCCCTGCAGCTATCCCAAGGGTCCCAAGAGCCCCAGGGTGTCCCCTCCTGACTCCAGCAGAAGCATGGGGTGGGTGAGTCTCTGGGTGCCTTGGCGCCCTGGCTGCTGCTTGCCGCCCGATCTACCCAGCTCTGACGCACCGGCTGGGACTGGAACCGGAACCTCAGTCCTCTGGGCTCTGGCCCTGACACCCTGCCCAGGGGGCTGGGCCACTTGGTCCCTGTACCCCCTGCTGCTGGCTCGGCTAGGCTCCAGGCAGGACAGGCTCTGGCAGACAGACCACCCGGCCCGCAGGGGTGCCGCCCACCGGCCACCCGGCCTGCCAGGGTGGGGCCACCCCACCCTCGGGATCTCGGCCTCCAATGGGTCCGTGGAGCCACGCCTCCCTGGACACTGTGGTTGGAGGCCTGGCTTCCCCTCCCCCCCACTGGGCCACCCAGCAGACTGCCAGTCCCATCTGCTACCCTCTGCCACACTGGGATCCCCAGAGGTCCAGTGGGCCACATGTGGGGTGGGAACCTGCCTGAAGAGTCTTATACCTCAGGGGAGCTATAGACTGATGCCATGCTATCTGCTGTCTGATGGGTGCTGGGACTCATGAGACAGAGGTTCACGCCACCCAAGAGAGGCTTGGTTCATGATGCCTGCTAAGGTGACTCCTAGCTCAGTCTCTTAGGCCAGCATCAACTCAAGGTACTCCTGACTAGCCCAGTTGCTCTTAAATCTAGGCCCCTAAGGGCTGCAGAACCAGCTGAGAGCCCAGGTGGCCATCCTTAACCGTGGCCTGACCTATGGTAGACCTGGAAGGACCCTGACTCCTCTGAGGCAGGAAGTGGGTACCCAAATCCCTAGCACAAGGGAGTAGAAGTAAGCCTGGGGGCTGACCAGTGATATGTTAAGCCCCCAATTCACACTCAGACTCAGACTAAGAGAGTTGGGGGACATGCCATTAATTTTCCAACTAGCCCATAAAGTTGTTTTTTATGAATTTAAACTGGATTCAGTTTGCATCTTGGCCTCTGCTGGCACACAGCAACCTCTCCAGAGCTTGTCACAGATGGAGACTGGCAGGGCTCTGCTACTAGGTGTGATGAGAAAGCTTTGGGTTCTTGGGGAAGGATCTGAGCAAAGGCAGTGAGTGATAGGAGGTAGGTTACCTGCTGGGTGACCTTGAGCAAGTCACTTGACCTCTCTGAGCCTACTTTCCTCATCTGTCCAACAGAGACAAGGTAGAGACCTATTCTTCAGGGCTGGGCAAAGTGGACAGTGTTGGATGCTATAGACATGTGGATGGAGGGCACGATGGGAGCAGGGGTGGAAGGTGTCATAGTACTAGGTGGTAGCATGTACATGTCTGCACATGTGTATGTACTCAGTGCACATGAGAGGTGTGATCCATCACAGGGCCAGGTTCCCAAAGACGTACAATTTAGTATATATCTACCCCGGGCATCACTCCATGTCATCCATTGTGGACCCACTCTGCACATGGACAAGCAGTTCTCCATCATCACCCACAAGGGACAATACCCTGGACCCACTCTCCCACTTCATAAGGGTTCCCTAAGACCTCCTAGGGACCTGCCTTCCTGTCTTGCCCACTGGTTAACCTTGTAGGCCTTGGTCTCTGGGTCTCCTCCCACCTTTCTTCAGCTCAAGACTTTGAACGGTGCCAAAGCTAACCCCTGCCCAAGGTCTTGCCTGGTCTATAGCTTTCGTGGCCCCGTTGCCCTGCCTCTGGATTAGCAGAAGGTCAGCCTGGTGCCAGGTCTTGCAGCTCTTCCTGTCACCCCACAGCCACCATGGGGCTGGGATCAGTTTCCTCCTTGGTACATGATACCGGTGAGTTGATAAGATTGATCAAAGGTGCTCCTAAATTCTCAGGACATGGGGCACCAGGAAGGATGGTGACAATGGAGAATACATCCCAGCCTGGACAGGACAGGAGGGACGTCTAGCCTGAGCGAGGTGGCCATGCATAAGGACCCTGAGCAGGCTGGGCTGATCCTGAAAGACTGGTATGGGGCATGGATATGGTATTGACTGGGAGCTGGGGCAGAGAGGCCAGGAGGCTAACTTAGACCCTGCTGCTAGTCTGCTGACCTTGGTTGCCAGCTGGGACCATGATAGGGCCAGGACTTGGAAGTAGCCATCTCCTGGCATCTGCCCACCACCTCGTCTGTGCCCTGTCTCACCCCTGAGAGCCAGGACCAAAACACATAGACACATGAAACAATGCCAGACCCACCCTCTAGGAACATAGGGTTTAAGCAGCCATGGAAGTGGGCCAGGGAACAGGCCACCACATGAGCAGAGGAGCCGAGCCTTCCTGGCTAGGGAGACCATGACAGGCTTCCTGGAGGAGGTGGCACTGCCGCAAAGCTTTAAAGCTGGAAGAGGGAGGAAGAGGGAGGGCACAACAGGCCGCTCAGAGGGCAGCAATGAGCAGTTAATTGGAAGCGCCTGAGGTTTGCAGGGCCTGGGCCTACCGTTGTCTGTTCTCTCACACACACTTTACGTAGGAGAAAACAGGCTGAGTGAGGACTCTCAAAGGCCTGAGGTCCCGTGGCCAGAGAGTCAGGATTCCCGATGGTTCCAGTGCCTCCCGCTCCCAGGACTGTCAGGCCAGTCAGTGGTTTCTGGGGCCTATGGCTGTGAGTCCAATCTCATTTGTAAAGTGGGAGGGGGGGTATCACTCGTTAGTTCCCAGGGGCAGCAAGAAGACATGGGGAGGGAGCCTGGGCAGCTACTCTGAGGATACATTCTCTGTGGGTCCTGAGGACACACAGGGAGCTATGGGAGGAAGAGGTGAAGCTGCCTGGCTGGCCAATGGCTTCGTGCTGGGCTTCAGTATCCTCCCATAACACGTGCATAGGCAGCCCGGCACAGCCTGTGGACCACATATCTGCCAGTCTGGGTGCAGGGGGGTACCACTGTCGGCAAGGGCGCCGCGGGCACCATGCCTGGGCTGGGAGGGACCTACCTCAGCAGCTTCTCCAGGCCCTGTTTGCTAGCATTTCTCCTCAGGAGTGCGGGGCCATTCATGCTGCGGGCCTGCCCGCGACGATGCTGGTGACCTGTCCTGACCCCTGGCCCTGGGGACACCGCCTGCAGCTTCAAAGGCTCCTGGTGCTGTGGCCCCAAAACTCTGCCCTCCTCTCCCTTCTTTTCCTTTTCTCTCTCCTGCCCTGCCTTCTCTCTCCGTCCCTCTCTCTCTTGTCCCTGCCCCCTTCCCTGTCAGTTTGTCTGGTCTCTCTCGCACTGACACCCCTTCCTTGTCTGCTCTGTCTGTCTGTCTGTCTGTCTGAAGGATGTCTGTCTGTCTCAGCCCCTCCAGCCCCTGGGGGCAGGGGTCTGGGGCTGGCTCCCAGATGGCAGCTCCAGGCCCTTCCACTGTCCCTGGACCCTGTCTCTGTGGGTCTCTCTCCCCTCTCCTTTCTCAGGACGTACAGCAGCTGCTTTCCTTTTGTCCCCCAGCCCCCTTCTCCGCCCCCTCGGTCTCCTCCACCTCCACCACCTCCTCCTCCTTCCAAGACTAGTAAAAATGTCCGAGAGAAACCCTCCCAGCCCCGCAGTGTGGGGGCCTGGCTGGACCTCCACGCCCGCTTGTGGGCAGCATGGTGGTATGCCCCCCTCAGACCATCTTGGCAGCTTCTGCCACTTCCCACCTCTCTGCCCACTACTCCAGTCTGGGTGCCTGGCCTATAGGTCATCTCCCCATCTGCAGAGCCTCTTGCCCATCTCTGCCTGCCTGCTGGTGCCTGCTCTGAGTCCTGCTCTCCCTGACCCCTGGCTCGCTCCTCCCAGGTCTGGGCCTTGGCTGCCCCTGACCTGGCTCACTGCCCCTCCTTGCCCTTTTCTTCTCTTCTGGCGTTTTCATCCCTATCTCAGTCTCCCTCCTACCTTCCCTCCCCCATTCCTTTCCCTCCCTTCTTTTTCTCCCTCCTCCCCCTCCCTCTTCTCCCCCCTCTGGGTCTTCTTTTTCCCTCTGTTTATTCCCAGCTCTCTGCTCTTGTATAACCTCCAGGGGAGGCTGGGCACCCCAGGAATCTTCCCAGGTCGCCTCGTTGGGAGGCTACTGCCCTCCCCAGAACCTCAGGCTGTATTCAGAGCAGGGATGTATAGATACCACAGAGAGCATCTTCCTTGGTGTAGGGAGCCAAAGCCCCCAGAGTGGTGGAGGGTACCCGGGTGGTCGGTGCCCTCACCAGCCAGCCCCCTACCCTATCCTCTGGCTCAGACCCAGGGACAAGCAGCCCAGCCCATTGTTTTTCTGGTTGGGCTTAGTCACTGTGACTCACTGGAGAACACTGGAGGCTAGTGGCTGGGAGGAAGTCGCCATGGGCCAGTTCTGGGCAAATAGGCTTACATCTGGTGGCTTCTCAGATCACTCACACTCATAGCTGCCGACAAGCGGTACTGCTAGACCCATGAGCCAGATGGGAAAACCAAGGCTGGCCAGCAGCACTGTGCCAGGTCACAGAGACAGAGTCTGGCAGGCCTAAGACCATAGTTGGGGCTATTGGCTGCCAACCACTGCCTACTGTGTCTCCCTGTACGCAGCTGGCCCCCAGTTGTCCTCCACCTCCATACTGGGAGGATGGACACACATGAGTTGCTGTGACCTCTAGGTAGGTCAGGAAGTCAGATTACAGGAAACTTCAGGACTACTGAGGACAGAGGAGGGAGTTGGAGTCTCCCGTGGGAATGGATCACTGGTGGGAAGGAGGTATGCCTTAAGGTGACGACACAGATACAGTGTCACATGGATCCACAGCTCTAATCTGCAGCAAAAAGATGACTACCCACCTTTTCTGCAACACTTGCTACAGGATGAGATCCAGCTGTTCTGAACATAGCGGTTACAGCATCTCCCTCCCCCGGCATCTCCCAGGAGGAGATGGAGCCAGGGTGTATAGCAGAGACAGCAGAGTCCACTGCCCTCTCCCACAGTGTAGAGACATAATACACAGCACATTCTGAAGTAATAAGGATGGGGCTGGGGTGAACCTCCCTCTGGTGAGCCCATGCTGAGAAGATCACCCAGTGGAACCAGCTTGTGCTGCGTCTGCACCACAACTCACCACACTACCTCCTTGCCCCTATTCCTATTTCCCGTTAGACAGCCAGGAAAGACACATGGTCAGGGCAATTTGGGTTCAAAAGCAGGAAGAATGTTTCCAGACAGGGGAGGGCTGCCTTAATTGGGGGGGGGGGAGTTCTTATGAAGAAATGTAGAATGATTTAAGGCTTTGAAGCCATGACATGTATGGACAAGTGAACAGAACATTTGATACTGACATTACTGTCTATTATTTGTCTACCTACCCACCCATACTTACAGGGATGTGTACACTCACTCTTACATCTACTCACCCATATACTCATTCTCACTCACCTGCCTACCCATCCATCCATCCATCCATCCATCCATCCATCCATCTTGTCTTTATGGTGCTTGTATTTTGATGTATCACTTATCAATCCATCAACTCTTCATCATGCTTATCCATTTTCCTATGTGAATGCAACACATCCTACTATTCAGTCATTTCAAGCAACTATTCACACAACTATGCCCATGTCTATTCATCTTTCATTACATAATTTCTCCAATAAAAAAAGAATCTATCAATTGACCCATCCATTCATGTGTCCATCCATCCATCCATCCATCTATCTATCCACTTACCTACTTACTTAACTATCTTGAAAATTTTTTTGAAGCTTATCATTATTAAGGGAGGCTGCATGTACCACAGTGAGTATGTGGAGGTCAGAAGAGAGCTTTGTGAAGCTGGTTCCCTCCATCCTTCTTTACATTGTTTCTGGGGATCAAACTCAGCTTACCAAGCTTGCATGGCAATAACCATTTTACCACACCGAGTTATTTCATCAGCACACCTAGAAGAAGTGTTCCGTGAGCCAGCCAGCAATCTGGTGCCTACTAACCTTCTATTACATAATAATGAATACTATCTACATGTTCACCCTTCAAGTTTTGTGTTCATTTGTTCCACCAGGAAAGTGTCTTCAATCCATGCTTTCATCTCCAAATATTCTTCTGCTCTTGTTTTCACTCATTTGTACAGATTTCTACATTTTCTTTATACCTTTTCCATATTCATTCATAAATCCATCTTTCTAGACATCTTCTTACCTAGGAAGCTGAACATCCAGCTGCACACATCTGTTTGTGTGATACTGTATGCACTGTCATCCAAGCAAGTCAGTACTTGCTTGTGTATGAGATAGTATAAGATATTATGTATGAGAAATCATCCTCCAGCCCAATCATCATCACCTACTCTTCCTCCCTGTCATCCTTCCACTCACATATACACTTAATTAGCCACACATTTGTCCATCAATCCACATGTTTATTCAAGAAACACAAATTGAATTCCAATAATTTTTAATGTGCTGGGAATTCAGCACCACTCTCCAATGCTCATGATGCTAACATTTTAGTGGGAACAAATAAGTAAGTATGTACCATCACGTTGAAGATATGGTTAGTGCTGCTGAAAGGAAACAGGGAGCACCAGAGATGTTTTGTATGATAGTTAACAAAGAAGAAAAGCTTGGTGGGAAGGAATAAGCACTTGGAGAAAGTATTCCAGAAAGGTAGTACAAAATTTATGACAGAGAGGTGTCTTTTCACCAATCAGTGTCACCAATAGTTCATCCCGTACTAATTTATCCATTTTATTGATTTGTCATATGTTTATCTTGCCATCATACATCTATTGTTGTATCTATTTATCCATTATTTATTTATAGTCATATGTCTGCCTCTCTTCATATTATATCTGTCCAGTCATTTATCTATGTCCTATATACCTCCTCTTTCATCCACCTATTCTTTCATCCTATGTGCCATCCTCCAATACATCCATTTATCCATCCCATGCATCCATCCATCCACCCATCCATTCATCCATCCACCATTCACTCATGCACCTATCTATCCAGTCCCCATCCTTCCATGTATCCATCCATCCATCTACATACCCACCCACTCACTCATCTATCTACTCACACCCATTCATTCATTCATCCAATCACTCACCCCTCCACCCACTCATAAGTCTACCCATCTACCAACCACTCATCACACCCATCCACCCCACATCTATCCAATCACCCATATATCCACCCACCTACCCATCTATCCACTCACCTACCCACCCACCCACCTACTCACCCATCCATCCACCCACTCACCCATATATTATCCATCCACATATCTACCCACCTACCCACCCATCCAACTATTCATTCATCCACTCACCCATATATCCACCCATCCACCTACCCATTCATCCATCCACCCTTCCATCCATCCACTCCTATTCATCTACACACCCATATATCCACCCATCAAGTCATCCATCTACCCCTCATCCACTCACACATTCACCTACCCATGTATCCACCCACTCTTCAATTCATCAATACAACCCCATCTACCCATCCATATATCCATCAACATTCAGTCATCTATTCATCCCCCATTCATCTACCTGTAAGTCCATTTATTCATCTACTTAGCTATTCATTCATCCATCTATTCATCCATACAGTCACTCATATATCCACCCATTTATCCATTTACCCATCCACTCATTCACCCACCCATACACCGATTTATATACTCCCTAGTCATCCACTCACCAATATCCACCCATTCAGTCATCCACTCACCCTCCATTCATCCATATACCCGGTCATCCATCCATCTACCCCTCATCCATTCATCCACCTATCGACATATTCACCCTTCCATCCAACTACCCACTCACATATCTATCCATCCATCCATCCATCCATCCATCCACCCATTACCTTCTGTTTATTCATATCACATACTTATTCATTCATCCACCCACTCACCCATCTACCCATCCAGCCACCCATCTTCCCACCCATATATTCACCAACATTCAGTGATCCACTCATTCATTCCTCCATATATCCATCCATTCATTCAACCGTCTATCCATCCATCTATCCAACCACCCACTCACCCATCCATCCACCCATATATCTACCCACCCACCAACCCACTCACTCACTCATCAATACATTCATTCACCTCACATCCATCTATCCACCGTCTATTCATACACCCACCCATACATTCACCTATTCATCCATCC